TGATGATGGTGGTGGTGGTGGTGATGATGATGGTGATGATGCTTCCTGAAGAAGCCCACAAGGCGAAACGTTGAACTTTCACAGTGTTAGGCCCCAAGTCCACTGGCATTTTTCGTCAGAGTTGCAGGCAAGGCTCATATGTAAATTGAGCTCGTTTTCGTCAATGACTGATTTTCTTTGCCTGACGCGATTTTCCTACATGCACGCTTTTTCGTCAGCCGTACAGGTGACTAAGAAGCCTCGATTCGACTCTTTTTGGAAGGAAATTTGAATCTTTAAGTACATTTTTGCTCCTTCACAGCACTTTACATTATCAATATACATGTAGTTGTATCTCATTATAATGTGTTGTACAATAGTAGATGTGTGCAGAAAAGCAGCAAAAAATGGAATTAAAGCATTTGACCTAGATTATTTCGTTTTCGACAGAGCTAAAAAAAGGTTAGACCTAGGTTTCGCCTAGTATGAGCTAAAAGGTATGCCAGGGATAGACTCTAGGTTCAGGGTAATTTTGTTTCAACGAGGACTTGTCTAGACCTTTACTTATGCCTCTATAGATCTACACACCAGAAACAATGCTGAAAATCAAAATAAATAAATAAATCGCCTGTGCCTGTGATGTCTGTTGTTCTCATAAACAAAACACATTGAGCTAAAAATAGGTTAGGACTAGGTGGTCTGACATGGATCGTCTTGAGTCGGTTCTACACAATGCAAAAACGCCGTACATTAGCCTGGCCTGGAAGTTTCCTTATTTTGGTGGACGCGTTGTCCTCATGTTCAAAAATGTTCTACAATGACGAGGTTAATCTCACAACCAGCAAAATCGTCTTGGCTATGCACACTACTAGTAAATATCCATAGGATGTTATAGTTATAGGCAAGCACCCCCCCCCCTCCCGGCCACACACAATGACAATGACAATGACAATCTTTATTCTTCTTGCAGGGAGAAATTTGTCTTGGTTGTTAACAATGGCATTAGACACACACACTCAACAAAAAAAGCACGTTGACCGGAGTTAATGTCAAGTTGACAAGCAACAACAAACAAGATTGGATGAACTGATGGGCCCTGGGAAAGACAGGCAGAGCAGTTTTCAAACATATGACCACAAGGAAACGGAATGATAATATTATCAACCACCTGCAGAGAAAGAAACAGACCACGATCTTCCGCCTACGAACAGAACATAAACTGCCCACCTTTCACCTGAACAGAATAAATCCAGAACTTCCCCCAATGTGTCCCTTGTGTGACTACGCATATG